ATGGGTTAGGAGATTTGGAATTCAAGTAGGTTTTAACAACATGGAATACGTTACAAATACAGTGCCTAAACTTGAATAGTAAAGAGTCAAATCTAAGAAGCTAGAGGGACGTCCAAATAATGTTCAGTTTCACAAAGATCCTTTTGATGGCATCCAAAAGCTTCATATTCTACTGATCTGAGGAGGGTGTGACCTAGGTTTAGAATGGAGAGAGAGAGAGAGCTAGGGTTCGAGACAGGTTTCCGACAGCCAGGGACAGCGGCAGTGGTTTCCGGCGGCGGCTTCCAAGATACGGTAAGCACTTCTTTGGGCAGGCGACAACATACTTTGTTTATGATTTTCCAGTGAATCGTTCAGCTAAGGATTTGTGGTATAGTTGTTGGTCCTACGGGAAAGTAGCAGATGTTTATATTCCAGACATGAGGGATCGGAAAGGGCGTCGTTTTGGATTTGTTCGGATGGCTGAGGTTTTTGATGCCAAGGATATGGAAAGAAAGTTGAATCAGATTTGGTTGGATTCGTATCGTTTGAAGGTAAAATTGGCAGAAAACATGAAATCAGGGAAAGAAGGGATGGCCAGAGGACGACAGCAAAAGCAGACAGAAGCGCAGTGGGTCAGACGAGATAGAAAGGTGTCTCCCGAGATTACATATGCACAGATTGTGGCTGGGAAAACTAAGGCATATTATGAAGGGGAGTCGCTGAACCATGTATTGGGGAAGAAAGTGGCTGGGTTAGAAACAAAGGGTGCAATGTCGAAAGATTTGGCAGTGATACCAATCTCAATACCTGATCAGGCTTCAACATCAGTGAATGATGCTAATACTTATGCGCCGAAGGAGTTGGTTCTGCAGTTCTCTCCCAGGGAGGATGAAGTTGCATGGTTGAGGCAAAGTAGAGTGGCATCGGTTCGGTCATTGGATATGGTGATAAAAATTCAAAATCGGCTGGATGTGGATGGTATATTGGTGAATGTTTCTCTGCTAGGGGGAAGACATGTTTTGTTAATGGATAATTCGGAGGGTTGCTTAGAGGAGTTTATTGCTAAAAACAGGGAGTTAATGGAGTCTTGGTTTGAATGGATTCAGCCAACTTTGGTATCTACTATGCCATCGAGAAATAGGTTGGTGTGGCTTCGTTTTAATGGTGTTCCTTTGCAAGCATGGAGTGAGAGGTGTTTCTTGGAGTTAGCAGGTTTAATTGGGGAAGTAATACTTGTTGATGATGATACAAAATCTAAATCATTCTTGTGTGAGGGTCAGGTCTTGGTATTGTGTGATGACACCATGAAAATTTCACAGAATATCACTCTAATGGTGGATGGAGAGTCTTTTCTGATCAAGGTATTAGAGGAGGAGTGGCGTATGGATCCGGACTGGTGGCTGGCCGGTGAACGGAGGAGCTCCGGTATGAGTTTAGACGTGTCCGACAGTGAGTCCGATAACTCAGCTGACCGTTACAGTGAAGGTGATGATATAGTTGTTATGGCCGAAGATTATGCAGAAACGGAAGCAAATTCAAATCTGAGTTTAAAACAGAATGTGGTTGGAAATTTTGAATTAAGTGGGCTAGAGATGGATGGGCTGGGCAATGTGGGCTCGGTTGGGCCATAGGTTTGTGAGGTTGAGGAGCTGGATGCAAAAAATGGGTCTCGTGAGGGGCTTGGGCCTGCTGGAGCGCATCAGAAGGGAGCAGCTGGGTTGGTTAAAAAATGTAAGAAATTGGAGGACATTCATGCCGGGGAAGGGGTAGCGGAGGAACCGAGGGAGAAGGGGGTGCAGTGGGTGACGACAAGAACCAAATGCAGGAAGGAAAGAAGGGAGACAGCAAGACAATTGGAGTAGGGGATGGAATCACAGAAAACAGATCTGTCATTGTCCGATGACTGTATTCAAAATCGCAATGCTTTGATCCGGCAGCAACTAGAGTTGGATGAGGTAAGAAGGCTGTTTGGTTTGGGGAAAAGATTGGGGATTCATTGTCAGAATAATGAGGAAGAGGTGATTTCAAGATTGGCGGCATTAGAAGGACGAGATGAAGCCAATTTTAGAAGTTCCTGAAGCTCAGGTGTGGAGCTTGGCTGAAAACAGTGAGTTGGGTTTTTATTATTATGAAGTTTATTTCATTTAATGTTAGAGGTTTGGGTTCTGGGTTGAAAAGCAGGGAGATTCATAAGTTAGTGAAGAAGGAGAATCCTGATTTCTTGTTTCTTCAAGAAACGAAATTGGAGGAGATTGAGGAGGCTTTGTGTCGGGCATTGTGGAATTCTGATAATTTTGATTGGATTATGCAGAAATCAATGGGTAACTCGGGGGGATTGTTGTGCATTTGGAATAAAAGCTGTTTTATTAAACATAGTGTGATAGAGGGGAGCAGTTTCATTGGGGTTTCCGGTGAATGGGGTAAAGGGAGGAAAATATGTAATGTAATCAATGTGTATGCTCCTTGTGATAGGCAGAGGAAGGTCTTGCTGTGGGAGGAGCTGGCTGGACGAGTTTTAGAAGAGGGTGGGTGTTGGCTGTTAGCGGGTGATTTTAACGCTGTCCGGAATGTATCAGAACGAAGGGGTAAAAGGAGGGAGACGCAGGATATGCAAGATTTTAATCACTTTGTGGAAAGCACGGGGTTAATTGATGTTGGCTTGCGAAATCGAAAGTTTACATGGTATAGACCGGATGGATCTTCCATGAGCAGACTTGACAGATTTTTTATGTCTACAGAAATGAGTCTATTGGCCACTGATTGGGTTCAAGAAGGTGTTGCAAGGTCAGTGTCTGATCATTGTGCAATAATTCTGAAGGCAAGGAACACAGATTGGGGTCCAAAGCCTTTTCAGGTAATGGATGCATGGCAACAACATCCAGATTTCAGAAGTTTTGTAGATGATAAGTGGAAAGATTTGCAACTTGAAGGATGGGCAGCTTATAAATGCAAGCAGAAGCTAAAGTTAATGAAGGATGAATGTAAAAGGTGGAATAAGGAAGTTTTTGGTAATGTGGAGACTCGATGGGAGATATTATCAAAGGACATTGAAGCGCTGGATATAAAAAGTGAAGAGATTGAATTAGATGAGAATGAGGTGTTACTCAGAAGGGGGTGTTTTCAGGAGATGTGGGAAATTTTGAGGAAAAAAGAGGCTATGTGGAAGCAAAAGTCAAGAATTAATTGGATTCGTCTTGGGGATGCACATACTGCTTTTTTCCATAGGTGTGTTCATGCACGGAGGGCACGAAATGCAATGTCAAGTATTTTAGGAGAGGATGGGTGGGTTGAGGAGCCAAGTAGGGTGAAAGAGGAGGCAGTGAGGTATTTTAGTCAACTGTTTCATAATGAACAGTGGAAACGGCCAGTGTTGGGAGGAGTGCATTTCAACAGAATCTCAGTTGAACAAAGGAAGTGGTTGGAACGACCTTTTTCAGTAGAGGAGATTGAAGAGGGACTACAGAGCTGTGATGGGACGAAGATGCCAGGTCCAGATGGGTACAATTTTAATTTTTTAAAATTTGCCTGGAGTACTTTAAAAGAGGATTTTGTGAAGTTTTTGTTAGAATTTCACCAACATGGGAGGTTAGTAAAGGGTTTAAATTCCTCTTTTTTGGCTCTAATTCCTAAAAAGGTCAATCCAATGCATTTTAAGGAGTATAGATCCATTAGCTTGATTGGTTGTTTATACAAATTACTGGCAAAAATTTTGGCGAATCGATTAAAAATGGTGATGGCAGATATTATTAGTGATTCACAGTCAGCTTTCGTTGGTGGTCGGCAACTAGTAGATAGTGTGCTGGTCTTAAATGAGGTGGTAGATGAGGTGAAACAGAGAAAACAAGAGAGTTTTATCTTTAAGGCTGATTTTGAGAAAGCTTATGATTGTGTGGATTGGAACTTTCTTGATTGGATGATGGGTCAAATGGGGTTTGGAATTCGATGGAGAAACTGGATTCATGAATGCCTTTCGACAACCCGTATATCTATTTTAATTAATGGAAGTCCGACAAAGGAGTTCTCGGTTGGCAAGGGTCTTCGTCAAGGTGATCCCTTGTCTCCATTTTTGTTTTTGTTAGTAGGTGAGGGGTTGTGCGGTATGGTTAGAAAAGCAGAGGCAGAAGGGATTTTCAGAGGAGTCAAGATTGGAGAGGGTGGTATGGTTGTGTCCTTACTACAGTTCGCGGATGATACTGTTTTTATGGGAAAGGCAAAGGCAGAAAATTTAAGGACTGTGAAAGCTATTCTACACTGGTTCGAATTAATTTCGGGTTTGAAGATCAATTTTTGCAAGAGTTATTTGTATGGGTTTAATGTTACAGATGGGTGGTTAAAGGGTGCAGCCGATATTTTGCATTGTAAGATAGGAACGTCGCCTTTTACTTACCTTGGTTTGCCGGTGGGAGGAATTTCAGGGAGGAAAAAGTTATGGGTTTCTGTGCTGGATCGTTTTCGAAATAAGCTTGCTACCTGGAAACGTTCACTGTTGTCCTTTGGAGGTCGAATTACCTTGCTCAACTCGGTACTTTCTACTCTTCCTATTTTTTACTTGTCGTTATCTAAAATTCCGAAGTGTGTTCTTGTTGAGATAGTTAAGATTCAGAGAGATTTCTCTTGGGGTGGAGCAAATTTGGAGAGGAAAATTGCATGGGTAAGTTGGGATCATATTTGTGTGGAGAAGGAGAGGGGGTTTAGGAGTGGATGATTTAAAGAGGAGAAACTGGGCTTTATTGGGTAAGTGGTGGTTTAGGTTAGGTGATGGTATCGGGGGATTATGGAAGAGGGTGATTTGGGAGAAGTATTACAGGGGTCGAAAGGAAGTTGATATTACTTCTTTCAGCTCCTTGCATATGTCTCGAGTGTGGAAGGACATTGTGGGTGTTGGTAGCCAGTCAGAGAGGTTGGGTTTAATGTTAGGAAAAGGCTTTAAATGGGAGATTGGTGATGGAAGTCGAGTGGCTTTTTGGGATGATAAGTGGGTTGGTGATAAACCTTTAAAGGATATATTCCCGAGATTGTATACGTTATCGTTGACCAAGGAGGGGCTGTTGAAAGATATGGGTTTTTGGAGTGAGGGCACATAGGTATGGGATTGTAGATGGCGATGAACCTGTTCCGGGAGGGTTGGTGAGGAGGAAGAAAGGTTTAGGGGGATTATTAATAGGATCAAGGTAAAGGAGAATAAAGATGATTCATGGAGATGGGCGCATAGTACTGATGGTGCTTATTCTGTTAAGGATGCATATGGTTTTTTAGCTCCTAAGGATGATCTTTTGGCTGAGAAATGGGTGAGAATCGTCTGGTGTAAGTTAGCTCCGTCTAAAGTGAGTGTTTTTGGGTGGCAGTTATTTTTGGATAGGTTGGCAACGAAGGATAATCTATTTAAGAGAGGGATTGCATTGCTGGGGGGGATGTGATTTGTGGTTTATGTGGGGAGGGAGTGGATCAGGTGAATCATATTTTTTGTGAGTGTAAAGGAGCATGGTTAGTGTGGATGAAGGTTTTGAGATGGTGGGGATTACAGGGTGTTTTGTTGAAAGACATCTTTGGTTTGGCAGAGTTCGTGACGCATGGTATTAGTGGGGGTTATTGGGCGGATTTAGGGGTTTTTATTTTTTTGATTGTTGCTTGGTTTATTTGGTTCCGGAGGAATATGCAGGCGTTTGGAACAAAGTTGCTATCTGAGGAGTTAGTTTTGGAGTATATACAACATAAATCATTTTTATGGCTTAAAAATAAAGAGAAATGGAGTGTTTTTTCATATCAAGAATGGGTCTCAAGTCCGATGGAGTGCAGGGGAGCAATTTTGCAGTATCGTAGCAATCGGAAAATATATCACATGCGGCAGCGAGATGGGGGATGATTTTACTTGCACTTAAGTGTTGCTGATTCAAGTGCTAAATCGTCAACTTCTAGAGGCTGGTGATAGGCTTCAAGTGTGTTTTTCCTGTGTTTTCATTTGCACTTTTTGCTTGATAGTTGTAATTCCATTTTGGGGTATTTCTCATACTCCTGATTAATATATATCATTTGTTTCGCTGATCAAAAAAAAAAAATCTAAGAAGCTAGATTCGACTCTCGGATCTTTAAGAGTCGACTATAGAGGGCTAACATTCGACTTCCAAATTCCAAAGAGTTGAGAACGTTGTCGATGTTAGGTATAGTTGATTCTCTTTATTAAGAGTCGACTCTTAATTTAAAAAGTCGACTATTAGCCAAAAAATTACTATAATTTTATGTGAAATGTTTATGTAGCCTCGTATGCGTGTCCAC